TGTGCGGGTGGGCGTGTGTTTGCGGACTGGCTGCAGTCGAGACTTGAGCAGGCTGATGGCGGCCATCTGAGGAGTGGAGGGTGGCCTCAAGGGGGCAGGACATTAGGATCCTTACCCTGAGCAGTTGCTATCTGACTCCCCCTAGACCAGGACCACCACCACACCAGGAAAATGGGCCTGTGTTTATGACTGGACAAGCTGGCTCAAAACTCCGGACCTCCCTGGCTCCCTTAGAAACCAAGCATGGGTTATGAAGAAGAACAGCAAATGCCCTGAAACCATTTGGAATGGTCATATGGAGGTTGGTGAAGCCAACGCCTCTAGGAGATAACCTGAGCAGCCCAATTTCAGAGCAGCCTTGGGCCTGCGCTGCAGGGGGAAAAGGCTCTTAAAAGGGGACGCTTAGCAGGCAGTTAAGGTTGCCCTGGTGTATGGTTAGTTCTTAAAAAAAGAAGTTGGAGTAGTGAAGGGGAATGATTTCTTTTTTTTCTCCAGCATTTCCTCTGGGAGCGCGTCCTTCCCACAACAGTACATCCATAATTCCCTGGAGGAAAATAGGCAAGTCCCTGCGCACGCTCCCGGAAGACACTTGAGGGGCCCTTTAACATGGGTGCTGTCGGGCTCCACCCCACCGAAGAAAGACCAGCTCCGCCCCGCTCTCTTGGGAAGCGAGAAGAAAGATGTTTTCAAGGCTATAAAATAGAAGACTGGCTGAGAAAGATCCCTGGGTCAAACCAGGTGGAGGCTCGCTCCTCAAGCAGGGGGAAAACTGGGGCAAGGGCGCTTTCGGCGCCAACATGCCCTTTTGAAGGAAGGCACCCTTCCGAGTGGGCATGCGCGAGCTCGGGCGGGTTTTCTGGCTCCTGGAATCCAGAAGCTGGAGGAGAAGCTCCATGGACTTGTTTTGCCCTGATTCCAGAGTTGCCGGGTTGGGGAAGACAACCGCTCCCCTGAGGCATCAGAGACTGCAGTCTTGCAGAGAAAAGGAGCGCAGAGTCAGCAGCAGCCCAAACTGTGGGTGGAAGATGCTGAATAGCTAAATCATGGTTCCTTTCCCTTTCAACTTTGTAAGGCTAATGTGAAGAAAGGGTTTTGTTGCACACACACGCTCCACCCTTCTCCTTTATATCGCACTTAAAGTTGAGCCAGTTTGTATTTGTGTGACTAATATTTGGGGAGACTGGAAGGACAGAGCAAGAGAGAAAGACCCTCGATGAGATGATTCAGTGATTGGGTTAATTGGAGTAGGCGTGTCAGAGACAGTGAGGTTGGCACAGGAGAGAGCAGCGTTTAGGGCTCTTGTACATAGGGTCGCTGTGAGTCGCAAGCGACTCCACGGCACATAAAAAACAATGGAAATCCTGCTTTGGAAGGGCGTAAAGTCAGCGAAAGAGAAGAAGACTCTCAACCAGATGAATTGACACAGTGACTGCAGCAATGGGCTCAAGTGTGTCACAGGATAGGACTGAGTTCAGATCTATTGTTCACAGGGTAGCTAGGAGTCACCTAGACTCAACTCAAAGGCACCTAACAACAATACTACAGTGACTGCAACAATGGGTTTAAGTTCCTCAAAAATGTGAGGATAGGGCGTGCGGCTTTAGCAAGGGACATTACGAGGTGTGTGGAACAGAACCAACAGCACCTAACAATACTACAAGCACAGAAGTCAGACGAAAGGGGCGGAGGGGGGAGTTTGTCACTTGTTAAGCAGAACACAACTTTTATGTGACTTTCATAAAATAATAAAAAAACAATTAGTGAGGAAAAGGTTTGGTAAATCTCAAAAGTACAGTTTAACTTCAGAAGTCAAAGACGTTAGACTTTTATGATGCACAGGGCATACACCTTACTTTCCTATTTTTACCCTCTATCCTCCCCCCCTTTTTTAACTAATAGCATGTCTTTCCTGTCTCTCACACACACACTACTGCTTTGTTCCACATTCATTGTCTGACCTGTCTCGACGACCAGGTAGCTCTGGTGGCCTACTGGCAAGAAACTGCACTGCAATCCCGAAGACAGGAGTTTCAAGGCCTCTCTCTAGCTGCTCAGTGGAAGAAGAATGACCAGTCTCTTCCCTTGCTATTAACTACCGGAAAGTCAGCTATAGGTCGGTTTCAATTCTATGGTACACAACAATAAGAAGATCAGCATGGGAGCTTTCTACTATTCACTTCTTGTTTTTCCTTAGCCTTCATTTATCTCTTCTAAATTCTCAAATTCATTGTACTCACTTTTCCTGCTACATCTTTGTCTAGTTATATTACAATGTTGTTCTTGTTATGTGCCGTCAAGTGGCTTGTGACTCATAGCGACCCCATGTACAACACCTCTAAACTCTGCACTGTCCTGTGCCAATCTCATTGTCTCTGAAACATTCATCCTGATTGCCCCAGTCACCAAATCAATTACAGTAATTTCCCAGACCATTAGATGTATTTCATTTGGATATTTGAATTAAAACTAGCAAAAATCTCTTAAGTGACAATAGTTTCAGTGTATTTTGTATTGTGTTTAAATCCACATGCCACCGTCTCACCCACCCTCTTATTCTTCCTACTAACTACAACTATGGAATTGTTCACACACACTGCATTGTTCTTACGTGCTGTCGAGTCATCTGCGGCTCATAGCGACCCTACATTCAACGGCTCTGAACCCTGCTTTATCTTGAGCCAACCTCATCATCTCCAACACACCTACTCCAATTACTCCAGTCACGAGGTCAGTCTATCTCATTGAGGGTCTTCCCCTCCTGTGCTGTCCCTCCACCCTTCCAAGCATGATGTCCCTCTCTAAGAACTGCAACATCCCCAAAGTATGTCAGATGAAGCTTCAGATGAATCCTTGCCTCCAAGGAGCAGCCTGTTTTCACCCTCTCTAGGACAAGCCTGTTTGTTCTCCTAGGAGTAAGTGGTATATTCAACACTCTTCTCCAGTACCACAGCTCAGAAGGCTCAATTCTTCTTCTATCATTCCTAGTCATTGTCCAATTTTTTGATGCATACACGTAATTGCATAGACCAAGGTCTGTACCAGGTGCACCTCAATCTCCAGACTAACATCATTGCTCTTCAGTACCCTGAAGAGGTCTCTAAGAGTAGACTTTCATAATGCAATTTGTCTTTTGATTTCCTGGCTGCTGATAATAAGAGTATTAATGGTGGAGACAAACTAAAGCTGTTAACAATCACAATCTCTTCACTGTCCATTATGATGCCTCAGTTCAAATCAGAGAAGCAGTTCAGCATTAGCAGCGTGACTTCCTATAGATACCTGAGCTCCCTGTGTTCATTTATAGTAGACATCATATTGGATGGCTGCTAGGTATTAAAGGAGCCTTGCTGTTGTAGTATGTAAACATGAAGTAACTAGGAGGTGAGCAGTTCAAATCCACCAGTTAATGCATGGTAGAAAAGTGAGCAACCTCTTCCTCTTAAGATTTATAACCTTGAAAATCCAATAAATGTTAGTTACGAGTTTGGAATCAACTTGATAACAGAAAGTACTAGGTATCAAGTTTTATAATAGGCATTGATGCTGTTCTGTACCTTTGAGTCAGAACTAGCTCCTAGTTGATGCTCCAATGGGTACTCAGAGGCAGTGAATTGCATGGGAGTAGATTGCTCATCTTTATCCCAGAAAACAGCTGGTGAATTTGAACCACGTACCATTAAGTTGGAAGGAGGAGTAGCATCCACTTCCATAACAGCTTGCCTCCAGAAACCCTATGAACCTGGAGAGATGATGAAAGTCACCCAAGCATCGAGGACTCTCCTTCATAGGGTCGCTATGAGTTGCCTGCGACTCGACAGCACTTAACAACAACAACAACAACCATTAAGTTAGCAGTATAATTCCTTACTACTTGTCAAAGCTGAGGAAGACCCTCAGCCAGGTGGATTGACACAATGACTACAGCAATGGGCTTGAGTGACTAGGGGTGGTAGAAGGAGAATTAATGCCTTTGAGCTGTGGTGCTGGAGAAGAGTATTGAATATACTGTTAACTGTTAAGAGAACAAATAGGTTTGTCCTAGAGAGGGTGAAACCAAGCTGCTCCTTGGAGGCAATGATTCTGAAGCTTTGTCTAACATACTCTGGGCATTTTGCAAGGAGAGGGAAGTTTTGGAGAGGCATTTTGCAAGGAGAGGGAAGTTTTGGAGAGGGAAGTTTTGAGGATAGGACAGCATAGGACAAGGTTCAGATCTGTGAACTTAATGGCACCTAACAACAACAAGAAGCCATCACTGGATATATAAAATGAAGTAAATGTGACCTTGTTCCTTAAGAAGCTTATATATTAGATATGTTGTTTTGATTATGATATGCTTCTACTTTCATATGAATCACTAGAAATTATTTTTGCCAGGAGATTCTTTTCCAGAAATGGATCCACTAGTGCCCATAATACATAGTTAGGACTATTACTCCCAATCTTTCCATACAAATTAACTACTTCTGAAAATCCATTGGAAGGCCAATTGTAAGTCAACTCTGACTTGATGGCACGTAACAGCAGCAACAACTGAAAAATAAATAAAATATATTGTTACATGTAGAGATTTTTTTTCCTTTTTTTATTGGGAAAAACATATTGGGGGTACAAGGAGGTGAGGGTTGGGGGCAGAAGGGTGAGGATGGGCCAGGATGCA